TCTGACGTTTCGCCAGCATCTGTGGCTGGCATCTTCAGAGAGAAAAAATAATTTCTCAGTAACTCAACAGGCAGAACTAGACAGGAATTTTGCTTTAACCTAAACATTCCATTTTGCTTCTAACTAGGAGAGCACATAAAACACTGAATATGATTAGATGATTAAAATTGTAGTATTGATGGGTGGGATGAGAGGATTCACTTTTTTCAGTTTTTGAATTGGAATACATGCACATGTTTACATTCTGAATTAAATCATGTTGGCAGTGCAGGGAAGAGGTAAACTATGGGGTCATTGTTTTAATGAACTCTTATTGTGTTTTCTCTGAGAGCCATATTTTGTTGTTTTTATATACCGCAGCAAATTGAACTTATAATGTGCCTCCCCCCCCAAAAAAATGCCAAAATTTTTTATAATCCCCACACATAAGATCCTATTTTTATACTAATTGCTATGTATACCAATTTTATTTACTCCAGTAAAACACGTAAAGTGACTTGCAAAAGTACTGAGGGGGAAATAATCAAAACAATGCTAAGCCAACAGCATAAAATATACTAATAAGAAAAGAAAAGTATTCCTTTTTAAAACTAGAGTCCAAATTTTTTCCAGTAGTAGGGAAAAAGTAATATAATAAAAACTAGGGACCCTTGCACACTACACAATTATATTGCTCTGATTCCACTTTAATTGCCAGGGCAACACCTTATGTAATCCTGTGGTCTGCAGTTTAGAGAGGGATATTTAAAACTCTTAGCCAAAGAGCTCTAGTGCCTCACCAAACTACAAACCACTGGATTACACATAACCACAACATAATCATCACAGTTAAAGTAGAATCATACTGCTATATACTGTGTAGTTTGAAAAGGGCCTAAGTCAGCTACCTTAATGTTGGTTAGATGCTTTTTTTGCCACCTAGAACAGTCTGACTGGCAGTGGCTCTGACAAGAGATTGTTTCCATTACCTCTGCAATAGTTCAGTACATAAGTTCTGGATTCATCACAACAGCCCAGCTAGGCACATTGCTAAAATGATTCACTGTTATCTCCCCAGCAGACAGATATTCCAGAGATGAAAAGAAACTATGTAGAATAAGCAAAAAGCCTGCAGGTAGTTCTTCCCCCCCCAAAAAATCAAGCTACAGTTGCAATATATTACACTTGTAATTTAACAAGGGATATCTTCCTCCCTTTGTGTAGTAAATTTTAAAAATACCATAGTGTTATCATTAAAAGGTGCAGCCTTAATAAATGGGTGAAGCAGGAATCTCATATGGTTCATGGTGCTGTCTTATGCTCTGTTATAGGTGAGGTGATGACAAGATAAATCAGAAATGAATATCTTTTAAAGAAAATGACAAGCCATTAGCTCCTCTAGCTACTTTTGAGAAACATAATAGTACAGAGTTACTTTTTAAAATGTAACCTAAGAGGTCAGGTTGATGAGTATGAGGCAAGGCTTTATCAAGAGTAGCGTCTTGGTTTAGGAAGTCCCTTCCAAGGGAAGTGAGGTTGGTTTCATTGCATTTGGAGCTTTACTGCACTTTGCCTTTATGGCGTGTTCATCCGCTCCAGATCCACTGCAGAGATTCATGGGATGGAAACAAATTATACTGCACCATGCTTCACTTCTGCAGAAATCTTTAAATTAAAACACTTCACACATGGATTTCTCTTCCACAGTACAGGCACAATATGGTGTCACAGCCTCCACCCCATATCCTGCCCCTTAGCTTCATGATTGGTCTCTTTTCTTCTTTTTCTTTTTCTTTTCCCTGGAAAGACATAATAACAGCACCTAGCTGTTTCACCATTGTGGGGGTTTAAACATACCAACATGATTTTCCTGGAACAATCACCAGAAATAGTCATGCTGCCCCCACCATTTCTATATTTCATGTGTGGATGAAACAACTTGTCCTCACCTTTTCATTTGAATGTTTCTGTAAAAACTTTTTTTTAAAAAAATTGACAATGCATACTTCAGTATTTCAGGGAGAGCTTTGCTGTTGTGACATTTTAGTGTTATAGTGTTTCACCATTGTGGAGGTTTAAACATATCAACATGATCTTCCTGGAACAATCATTGGAAGTAGTTTGTGTATCACCAGCTGAAATCTCCTGGGGAATTCCAAGGGAGACACTGGAGCTTATTGCATGCCCTAAAGAGACGTTTTACCTCTTCCAGCTTCAATCCTTAATTGGGAATACAGCCGGACGTTATCAGACATAATTCACCAATGATTCTGCTGCGATGCCACTGGGCGAATGCAGCCCTGCTTGAAGCCACACTTAGCCAGCACTTTTTGGAAATGGAAGTTTTCCAACTTGAGAAATTGGCCGGCTGAGCAGTCCTTGGACCCAGGCTGCATTCGGCCAGTGGCATTGCGGCAGAATTGGCAGCAAATTATGTCTGATAATATCCTGCTGTATCCCTGATCAAGGATTGAAGCTGGAAGAGGTAAAATGCCTCTTTAGGGCATGCAATAAGCTCCATTAGCTGACCACTCCCGCAACCTGCCCACATCCTGCCCAGTCATGGAATTCTCATGGAAGAAAACAGGATCAGAGTTCTGCACACACACACATACACACACACACACACACACACATACATATATACACCCCAAAAAATACTGTTTTGAAGCCCAAGTGGTAGCCATTAATGGATTATTTGCAACAGGCAAAAATACGGATTTGCCACAATGGTACAATGGTATGACAGCAGGACAAATATGGCATCATGCAGCACAGCAGGCTTGCTGCTAGTGTTGTCGTGCTAGCATGCCATCATACTGTTGTAATGCAATAAAGCTCTTGGACTTGTTATGATGGCTGATTTAATATAAAGACCCCTTTTGGGTCCTTGCCATGGCCCTGGACTGGGAGAAGCCCCGATTTCCATAGACTCAAGGCAAGCACACAACGTAGGCACCTTGAAAGGTCACATCTGCACCTTCAACAATGTGGAGATCAAAAGGGCCAAGACTAGGAGCTGCAATGCAGGACATTTACACCTAGAAGATGTATGCGTACCAGCCAGGATGTATCTCAAGATGAGATAACATTAACATCCCATCTCCTCTCCTTGGAAATTGTTTATCTCAAAGAGTAATAATAGGAATTCTTTGATATACAATAGCAACTCTTCACCTCAGGCTAGGTTTAAGGGTATAAATGATCCCCAAAATCTCAGGCACATTGGGTCTGATTAGATTTCATGGGGAACTCTGGCTGGGGTCCCGGCTCTTTCCATTGTCCTTTCCCTTTTCAGAACAGTTGAGTCTATCCACCTTCATCCATCATTGGAGCAGCCTCCTTCAGATAATTATCACCATTAGAAAGCCTTGTGTTTCTTCTCCAGGCTAACTGCTTTATTCTTGAGTTCTTGTGTATATGAGTGTATGATAGAGTGTCTTTGTATGTTTCACTCCCCAAAATAAATTACAGTTCATTGGAAAGCTTTGTATCTATCAGTCTATTGCCTAGACTGTAAATATAGGATAAAAGATCCCATAGAAGACTTGGACTTTAGTAATTCCTGAAGTTCAAGTTCTTCTTTACAGACTTTTTGTGTGCACCTAATTCTGTGCTGTGTGGCTTACCCCTTTTATAACTAGAGTTCAAATGTTTTTACAGAGGTAGGAAAGCACCTTTAAAATAATATAAAGTGAAGATGCTGCCTTTGGTCCTTAACACCAGGATCAGCTTTTGGGATTGTTATAATTGTGTATGTTTTTAATATTGGTTTTAAAGAAAATTGTTTGGGTTTAGTTTTTAGAGAATGTTCTCTATTTTTTATCAGTTGTGCATGCCCTCAGAGGCCCTAGTAAGCTAAATATTTGTGATAAACAAATATTTAAATAATGACTGTGACTATAATGATAACTAACTACAATTTGATACAATGGAGTTATAACTGTAACTAGCTAATTTAAAAATAAGCTCCCAAGCTATCTTTATACATCCTGTCCTTCTATTATTTGTATTCAAAGCAACTAACAATCTGATTAAAAACTCCACTATAAAACAAGCATTAAAAACAAATAATCATATAATAAAATCTCACTCTTGTGCATTACTGCAATCTTATACATACCTACCTGGGGGAAAAGCTTCACAGAATTTCAGTGATGCTTACTTAGGGCACCAGAGGTCCTGCTTGTAAAACACACAAATATTAACAATAGATCTTCAGATAGCTGATATGGACTCTTTAGCTTTTCCTTAGAAATACTAACAATTTTGCAAAGGATGGTTGCTGTGTAAAATAGAATCCAAAATATAACAACAAACCCTTTGAAGAAAAAGAACTACAAATCCATCTTGTTCTTGATTATGTGCCAAATTCTCTGGACTAAATCCAGTTATAAGTCACAAGTAGAACAGACTTGAGAGTCACTGTAGTTTAAGCATTGAACTATGACTCTGGAGACCAGGCTGTGCCATGGAAGTCCACTGGCTGACCATAGCCAAGTCATACTCTCTCAGCCTCAGAGGAGAGCAAGGGCAAACCCCTTCTGAACAAACCTTGCCAAGAAAACTCTGTGATAGATTTGCTCTTGGTTTGCTATAAGCTGGAAATGATTTGAAGGTACACAACAAGAAAAAAGACCCTCTGAATGAATGAGACTTGATTTATGTACATTCCATTGATTCAATGGATCTATTTAGTTTGGTCTATCAACTGGATTTAGCCCTCTGACATCTAGATTACTGTGTCATGTATACATTTTAAAGTATATGTGCATATGATATTGTAATTTGGAGGTATAATTTTAATTTTGCTACTTGTTTATGTCACAACTATTAACATTACATTCAGTAGTATATGGGAATTATGCTTTACAAGTAACATTTGTGCAAAAACACATTACTAAGGATTCTGTATGGTGTGAAATGGGAGGTCAGTGGGGGGGGTGACACCATGAGTTCCTTCACTGGGTGACACTAACCCTATGGATGCCACTGTGTATCAGCTACCTGATCCTCCTACCTGGAAATGCTAAGGATTGAAGCTAGGATCATCTGCACACAAAGGATGTGCTCTACCACTGAGCTATAGTCATTTCCCTTCCTAACTGGAGGGAGCTAGAGGAAAGATGGAGTGATGGAGTTGATAGGTAGGCTTGGTTTCCTGGAAGCCAATCACAGTTCAGGCAGACAGTGAGGGAAGGGCTGCAGGGGAATTCAAATGTATAAAAGCAAGAGTGAGTGACTGAGAGAGGGACTTCAGTGAGAGTCAGATAATGAATCTGACTGGGAGTCAGTGAGAGTCAGATAAGGAATCTGACTTCATTGAGAGCCAGGCCCAAAACAGACGGTCAAAAGTGCTGCCTTCGGGCCTATACACAGGCACGGTATACAGATGATAGACATCTCTGGATCATGCCATGGCCGTTAAGGTGACCCAAACCTGGCCACAAAAGGAGGCCAAAAAAAAAAGTGCTTCTTGCCTGCAGTCTATTGCGGACCACAGCAACAGCCAGCCTCAGGATGCAGCATCTGATTACCGCAGTTCTGTGCCAAATGGCGAAAGACCAGGGCTGGAGCGGCCAGAGTTCACTCCAAGCTGCCGGTCTGCTTGACCCCTCAGATAAGGAATCTGACCGGGAGTCAGTGAGAGTCTGAAAGAGATTCTGATCAGGAGAGGGAGTCATTTAAGAAAGTCCAGAGGGGACCCTGATAAGCCTGCAAGTGTATGTTAATGTAACCACCCTGAGTTTGAAGTAACCTACCTAAGATCCTTTCTAATTTAATGTTATTTAATAAAATTACTGATTTTTTTTATAACAGATGACTCTGAGTGAATCATATACATTATAATAAGGCAAGCATGCTACCCAAGATATTGAATTGGTTGGGAAAGACACTTGGGACTCTGGCCTTTATACCCTTAGCGAGGGTGTTAAAGGGGTAAAAGCAGGGCAAGTGTCAGTGATGAAGTGCCTTCAATGGATAAGGTAACCTCAGGGATATAAGGAAGATCTTGTTACAGATGGCCAAAAAAATCCCAGCAGGTAGTTCCTTCATGTGGAATAGGATTTATCTCATGTCTCAGTTGGACTCTGTCCCATCTTGCAAGGAGGACACAGACCAAATTTGTCTAAACCAGGGAAACCAAAGCAAAGTTCCTAATCTAATAGATTTGGAAAGCATGTATCAGCAACAGTGTTTCCCAAGAGAACTGGGCTACTCTACTGGAAAAGGAGATAGTTGGGGGGGTTCCATTCTCAGTTTCCACCCATTCTCCTTCTTCCTGATCACTGGTAAGCAAAGGGCATCTATGCCACATTCATACACATCTATTGACCACTCCCTGACTACCCAAAATCAGCATAAAAGCATGAGTGAACTTTTTTCACAACAGAAGTGGGAAAAGAGGTAATTAGATATTTTTGAGTTAATAAAAGCAAACTGTTTCCAAACAATCTCTCTTGAGAGAAGAACAGAAAAGCAATGGGGTTGTGTGATAAGGCTGAGGCAACAGCAGGACTAATGTATCGCTGTGATGCTATAATGCCATGGTGCAATGAGGCACTAAGTATCCAAAAGTAGACCTGTGATTCTATAACCCCAGAAGGGAAAAGAAAGAGGGGGAGGAACCCAGGTCAGTTAAGCAAACCTGACCATTACTGACTGTCTGTTAAGCATGCTGAGAAGCAAATAATCAAATCAACCACACTGGATACTGCATTTCGTCTCTTTCCTAACTCATTTTTAAAAATCTCTGTAGGGTCTTTGAAATATAAATTACTTTTGTTTCAGCATTTGTGAGTGTGGCAGGGAAAGCCATATAAGTAGTTGATTAATTGTACAATGTTGCCTTTAATGTACTGGAAACAGCAGATGTATAAGTAATAAATATACTTAAAAGGGGTAGAAATTATGTGGGAGATGGATGCTACCATGGCAATGAAAGGGGGAAAATGCTTGAATAGCAGGATATTGTACATTGTAATAGACTGCAGCTGAATGAGTCCAAATCCTGCACATTCTCAGACTCTGTTTCAACACAATGCCTCTATAATAACCAAAGAAAAATCAGTCTGGCTTTTGCACTACTTTATTTGCAGTACTTGAATAGGGCAGTTATAGTGGTGCCAAATTGCATTACTAGTAGTTTGATTTTTTACTTCAAAATATGATGTGTGCAGTGTATGTAGGAATTATTTTTTTTATTTTTTTTAAAAAAAATATTTACTTACTTACTTACTTCGGCCTTCCAATAGTCTGAGGGACAGCGACCCGGCCCCTGGCTCAAAAAGTTTGCCTACCCCTGCTATGAAGTTATGGAGTCCTTCAAAAGCACTGAAACATTTAGCACTAATGCTAAAACATGACAACCTGTGCAAGTTGTGTTATAGATGCCTCAGGGGCAAGATCCACATCCTATCCTTCAAGACAGGCTCCATCATAACCTTTAGAAGTGATATTTATAAATAAAAAATGTTCTTTTGCTTGATTGCTAAATGATTCAAGTAATTCTAAACTGTAAATATGCAGGGAATTATTTCCCTGAGAATCAGCTTAAAGTAACAACAGAATGTGGAGGATAAAACAAATAATCAAAACACCACAAACAAGGAATATACTCTTATTGCATTTCAGTAAATATCCTAAATTTGCCATACCTCTGTAGATCTCTGTAATCTGTTTCTTTGAAAGTCTAGCAGGGGCTGGATTAATGTCTTCCCTTCTCTAAACTTTACCAAAGAAAGTCCTGTATTCCATCACCACCAAATTCCTCCTGCAATTTGGCTAACACAATACTCTCACTCACTTGGTCATTAGGGTTCAAATATGACCTTTAACCTAACAGTTCTCTTTTTTTAGTCATCAATATGCTTGACCCTTCAACTCCTAGAAGACCCAGTCAGTATAGTTAATGATCTAAACCAGGATTCTGGGAGCTGACATCCAAAACTTCTGGAAGCCAGAGGTTGAGAATCATCACTTGAAGCACTACCTTAACTGACCAAGGATTCTGGGTTTCTGTCTAGTCATAATGTTAAACCAAGTGGTGTTAATCTCACATATATATATATATATATATATATAGCTACCACAATACATTAATAAATTAATATGGGTTAAACAGTTTTTAAATTTTATAGCTAGTTTCACTACATTTTAAAGCTTTTCATTTGCTTGTATCCATATGTGTTTTTATTTGTATTTCCTTAATTTTATTAGCAACCTTGAGTCCCACTTCTGTAGAAAGGGATGGGATGGGATGGGATGGGATGGGATGGGATGGGATGGGATGGGATGGGATGGGATGGGATGGGATGGGATGGGATGGGATGGGGGAAGCACAAGGAGGGAGAGTACACATGATCCCAGGCTCACTCAAGCAAGTGAGACGAGGAAGGGATGGGACAGGGGAAAACAAGGAGACCCATTCTCTTATTCAGGCAGGCAGGGGACAGGAGGGGACAGGAAAGTGCAAAGAGAAAAGGTGCACATATTCCCTTGCTCACTTGCACTGTCAGGCCAGGGGGAAGCAGACAAATAGGGAGAACATGAGGAGGGAGGGTATAGACATATTCCCTTGTTCACGTACTCACTTGTACAGAGAAACGGGGGAAGGGAATGGGATGGAGGAGTGAGAGGAGGGAAGGTGTGCATGTTTCCTTGTATACATGGGATGGTATAGGGGAAGGGGATAAGATGGGTGTCCCCTTTTTCCCTCCTCCCACCCCCATCCCATCCACGCCCCCCCCCTCCCACCCAAGTAGGTGAGTTAGCAACCAAACAAGGGAACATCTCACAGCCAGGCCCAACCACCCTGCCAGTTCAAGTACTTTTGTGTGTTTGTTAAATATGGGGGATGGGGGGGTATAGATATTCACAGTTTTTCCATTTTTGTGGAGGTCCTGCACTTCTAACCCCAGAGAAAATTGGGGGCCAACTGTACAGTACATGACAATACAAAGTGTCCATTACACTTGTCTTGTTTTAGTATCTATTAGCTTATGACAGTAGTCTTTATGATGATAGTGATGAGACTTATGCAAACCTACAGATATTGATTGAGTGTTCCTCCTAATGTTGATTATGCTGGCTAGAGTTTCTGGGAACTGACATTCAACAATATCTGGAGGAATGCATGATTCCCAACCCTACAAAGAAAGAGAAACAAAACAGGCATAACAAACACTAACAAAAGCCAATGTAAAAGAGTAAGTGAAAATAAATGGCCAGTTTAGTACAGTTGTGCTAGAATTTAAATCTCAAATTCAATGCAAGAATGGATGTTTCTGGCCCTAGTTACACTTATTCTGAATAATGTATATCATGAAGTTACTAACAACAACATCTGATAAGTCTCATTTATTAACATAGTTAAAACCAACAGCAGATATTAGCCCCTCCTTCTTAAGCACAGTTACATTCTAGTCAATGTAGATTTTATATCAGAATTAGAGAAGTCATAAATAAAAAATTTAAAAACTGTGAGCAACAAAAACAACATAAGCATTCTTCTGAAATTTGAGGTAATTGATGGCACAAGGCACTACACTTTCTTTTTAAAGGAGGCATCTCATCATTCAATTATTATTTCACGCACTGTGTTGCATCTCATTGCTACCTCCAAAGAGATATGGACAGAGATACTAGTAGCTGAGATGTTCATATAAAGAGGGGAATTTTGCCAAGGCATAAGTTGGACTTATCCAGGATCCAGGATGGTGTATTGGTTTGAATGTTGGACTTTCAGGATTCAAATGGCCATCAAACAGAGAGATTTGAAGGAAGGGGAGGGGGATGGGAAAAGAAGGTTTTAACATCAGATTGAGGAGGAAATCAACACTCACACACACATACACACATATTCCTACCTGAGTAGCTCTTTCAGAAATCACTGCTGAGGCATGGAGAGTGAGGCATTGGGGTTTCTTTTTTAGGACCTTTCTAATAATATTACTGTTGTTGTTAACTGCACTCCAGTCAATCTGGACCCATGGGGACTGTATTGGCCCATATATAAGTCAACCCCAGATTTTAGGGTCAATTTTTTGGGCATAAATTTTTCAATTTATATGTTCCCAAGAAAACCCTAGGAGAAA